TGTGACTTAGTTTGCTTTTTTTTTCTTTTTTTTTTTTCTTAGTTTGCTTTTATAGTGACTTTTTCTGTGAGTTCACATTTGGGATAAAGATAAACTCAACTTGCTAAATGGAGATAAGGTAAAATGCTGTTACTAATTTTCTTTAAGAGCTTCATTTATAGACAATTCTGTATTTATTTCAAGTTCTTCTCCACTCTAAATAGTCTTTGGTAATTTTTTTTTCTTGTGAGGTATTACAAAACTAAAAGATAAAGCTTGCATTTCCAATGGTGTTCTGAGTCTTACAGTGATGTACAATATCCCAAATACTTCTGTGGTTTCTTTCCCTTCCATTTTTCAGACATGATGGGCTTTCATAGTTATGGGTACATGGCAGAATTTACATTCACTGTGCATAAGTTATACTCAGCCTCCCTGTTTTAGGAAGGGTACATGAAATTAGAGGAGCGAGGCATTAGCAACTCCTCATTTGTTTGATATTTTTTTACTTTATTATTATTTTACTTTATTTTGGATGTGAATATTTATAGATTCAGTATGAACCTCATATTTCTACCAGAAAATAAAGGATCATAGTTCTTTTAAAAACCAGGATATGCATACAAATGAGCTTATTACCATCTTCGTCAAAATAAGCCTGATTCAGAAGGATAAATATTATATGTATTCTCTCATTTGCAAAATTGATGTCTTATATATGAGAAGGGGGAAGAATGAAGAGAAGGGTATAGAGACATAGAGTCAAAGTACAAAATACTGAAAAGACTTTGTCTTTATGAAAGCTATATTTATATAGCTTTATATAGAGATTTATATAGCTATATATATATATAGCTTTCTATAGAGATTATATTACATATAATCTCAAATTATCTTATTTTCCAATTTTTTGAGAATTTCACACAAGAGTGCTGTGTTTACATCATTTCCACCTCATCCTCTCCCCTAAACTCCTCCTGTACCATCCACACACTCTCAAACTTGTGATTTCTGTAATTATTGTTGTTACATATGTGTGTATTCATGTGCCTATATAAATATAACTTTCTGAGTCCATTTAGTGTCACTTCTTCATATTTGTATGTATTTGGGGCTGATCAATTAGGATGGCATAACATATCAGGGGATCATCCCTGGAGAAGATTTATTCTGCCTCTGAAGAGAGAATTCATTGCCTACGTATCTTCATTTAAGAGGTAGGTAGGTCCTTATGAGATTTCACCATCTACACAGGAATGTCACCTGGTGTTAGTATGCAGGTCCTGTTTAGGTGGTCATATTGTTAAGATTCATGAGTGCAGCTCTTTGTCATATATAGAAGACAGTGTCTTACAGCAGGCATCCTGGTCCTCTGGATTGGGTAATTTTTCTACCCTCTCTTCCTCTTCTTAAGGCTCTTCTTCTGTGAGCCTTAAGTGGAGGGATTGTGTTGCAAATGAGCCAGTTGCCAGTTAAAGAAGGACATCCCGCTGTCACTAATTCTCTACATTTTGACCAGTTGAAGATGTATGTGATGGTTAAAAGAACTTTTTTTTTTTTTTCCTGGCTAAAAGGATAAGTATTCAGTAAGGAATTATACTGATTTTGGAAGGTGGCAGCAATAGGTTCTCCTCTAGGGTCTATGGCCTCACCAGCCACAGGGAGATGGCTAGGATAACAATGCCAGAGTGAATTCCCTGTTACTGAGAAGGCCTTAGTTCTACTTACTCCTAAAACAGGTGACACTGCTGCACACTGTGGGTATCCTGTCATGCTGGTCAGTGTTGTGGCCATAGGCTTTCCAGCAGGGTAGGAATGTTCACTGCTTTTCTCCATTGGCATCTTGATTAGCAGTTGAGTACTATGGCAGCAGTCCTCAAGGAGGAGGCCTCCAAGCCAGTTCCAGCTCAAGTCCTCCAAGTCCTGTGTCCAAAGAGTTTGATGTCTTCAGTAACTGGGTCTTACCTTTATGTTCTTGGAGGCAACCAAGGGCAACAACATTATTCTGTATTGTTTTAGGAAGCTCTTGGACTCCCTTGAGGTTTACCATGACTCGGTACTGGGGTTTCTGTTAAGTATGTGACCCTTACTGGGGCATTGTGCATTATAACCACAGGTGGCTAACTTCGCTAAACTGAATATACACACATAGATATTATGTAGATCTCTATTTTAAGTAAACATTAAGTAATATGAGTCCCTATGGCTTTCCCAAACATCTATATTGTACTTTATCCATTCTCCCTCCCTCTCCCTGTGACTTTCTCTCTCTCGATTGAACCCCCTCTCTGCAGTTTTTTTTTTCTATTTTCCTTTCTATAGCACCTGTACCCTACCATCCTCTGATCTAGAATTAACTTCATGGGAGAAGGTGGGGTGGATATGATGTAACACAGTACTCAGGTATGAAATTCTCAGAAAATGTATTTAAGAGGGAGAAAAGCAAAACTGTCTTTTACACAGACCCTCTCCCCCCACCAAAAAAAAATTCTAAAGGCAAGGACTTGGATACACAAATTCTTTTCATGGTCTTTTATATGTCACCAATCATTTAAGATGGTGTTTAGTAGAGTGTTTTATGTGGAAATGAACATCTGATTTGTATTTCTGAGTTCATTTACTTATTGGGTTATTTTATTGGGCAAATTAAGAAACTAGCAGGTGACAAATTTTGCTATGGGTGCTATCTTCTAAAACAAAGAGGTGAGATTGAAGTTATTTATAAAAAAACTAAATGACATCTGGAAACAAAACTCTAAATATTGTGTGGTAATGTTTTTCTACTAGTGAAGTAGGAGGGATCTGAATTTAGTGCACTGAGGACAGCCTCAGTGAATGGAAGTTTTCTTAGCCCCAAAGAATCCAGGCTGCTGAGTCGCTGCTGAAGAGGGAATTATTTATAATAGCATTTACTGGTAAGAGAAAGGGGGCGAAACCTTAGACAGCCACTTAGATGTGACTAAGGCAGGTTTATTTCTGATTTCAAAGCACTGCAGTGGAAGTCACGCCGTGACTCAGAGCATTGTGAGGGGCCAGCTGTCCACAGGCTCCTCTCCAGTATGTGCTCAGGCATCGCCATGCCAGACAGAACACTCACTGGAACGTAATTGCTATGAGTTCACTCGCTTGACACAGTTTCCACGTTGGTGGTGGAGAGGGCCATCTAATCGCTTTATCTTCAGCACTTCAACAGGAGTGTGCACTGTGTCCCAGATGGCATGAGCCATAGTGTACAGGTCCATTTGTTATTGCTCTGCCTGTGATGCCTCAGGGAAAGACACCAAGGACCACTATCAAGGAGCTGGTGATTTCCAAGACATAGATCTGTTTTATGCTTCAGGGGGCAAGTGGTTCACTGGGACAGAAACAGTTTCCTTCATTTGGCACATTTATTACAGCCATGGCTCCCTTGTTTTAGGAATATTTGGTGAAAGTCATACTAATTTGACAAGATACACAGAAGAAAAAGACAAGTCATGCTTCTCAGTATGCCTCATCACAGATTGAGTTTTTTTTTCTTCAGCCAGGGCCACTGTTATGTCTTTGTGCTTGTTACTCTGAAACTTAGCAGGATTAACAAATGTTCCAAAATGATCAGACCCTAAATCTGGTTATATAAATACATATCACAATATTTTGTGTTAGTGCATTTTTTCACTTAAATGCCCAAATATTGACAAAAGAAATTATTATTTCAAAGGAAAGAAAGGAAATAAAAATAAAGGTATTTAAGAAACCAAAGTCCATGAGTATCATTCTAAATGATTCTATTTCTCTTTTAAACTATCATGTATATGTGGGTATACATAAGAGTAGCCACATATTCATAGGGCATCAAAATATCATATTTTATTCATGAATCATAGTTATCCAAGATTATAGCTCTAAAAAGTACACAAGTATCATAAGGTGACCTATAATTAAGTTTAGCTTGTTTGGTTTTGCAGTTTTGTGAAACAGTTTTATTCGTTTAGTAATTCTGTTGTGCATTATTCCTGCCACCCCCAGGAAACTCTCTCAGACTCTATCAGGTTTAGGTTTATTTTGGGTATGCTGCCATGATGGCTGGTCTTTTACTTATCTGAGTTCTTTCAATTTCTCCTTTAAAACTATGCTGTACTAGTGGCAGGAACTGTAGGTTCTTCCTGGTTTCCTCCACATATAGAAAACAGCTGATAGTTGTTTTAACATGTTACACTGCCCCGGTAAACTCTATTATTAGATCATGGGACAATCTAATCTGTTGTAAAAATAATGAATTATTTCATAACAATAAAACCAATGTAATCAGTTACTTCAGGTCCCATCAATGGAATATTTGATGATTTAGTTTATGGTTAACAAATTTAAAGCCTTGAGTTAGAAACTTAACTTCTCTTCAGTATTTTGAATATTATTACATGACCCATGTGGATAAAATACACAAAACTTCCAATTTTATTTTTTTAATTACATTTATTCATTCACTCATTTATTTATTGTCTCCGTGTATGTGTGTGTGTGTGTGTGTGTGTGTGTGTGTGTGTGTGTGTGTGTTTACTTACCACAACACATGCATGGAGGTCAGAGAACAAGTGGGAGTTGGTACTCTCTTTCCACTCTGTGGATCTGAGTGATGAAACTCTCGTCTCCAGGCTTGGTGCCAGATGCATGTACTGAGCCATCTCACCATCCCCCAGTTGTTCTTGATAATTAGTTCAAAAAAGGAAACCATTGGCCTTAGTCATTTCAATATATGACTCCTGAAACCCAGATCAGAAAGTGGTGTATCATTTTATACTGAGAATGGAAAGTCAGGAGGCTTGCGAAACGTGATTTGGTTGCTTCCATGGAATATTGTCAGACCAATAGGAGCTGGTGAAGAACTTTTATGGACAGTATAAATAATTTGAGCCTTAGACATCATTACCAGTTGATATTTTCTTTCCTTAGGACCAGCTGTTCAAGAGCATCCCGGACCAGAGCCAGGCACAGTTGAGACTTGGCTGGGACATAACACCGCGGCAGATTCCTCTGCAGCAATGTCGGTGTTAGAAGAAAGCCGGCCGTTTGCTCAACAGCTATCCAATGTCTATTTTACGATACTCTCCCTTTTCTGCTTTAAACTTTTTGTGAAAATCAGCCTTGCCATCCTTAGTCATTTCTACATCGTGAAAGGCAACCGAAAGGAAGCCGCGAGGATAGCAGCTGAATTTTATGGAGTAACCCAAGGACAAGGTACGTTTATGATAGCAGGCTCCTGTTTCAAGCTGAGTAGAACTATCATTTGATCTGCAATCCAAGAAAACATCACAGGTTCTCTTCATGGGACGTTTTGTAAACTTCAGTGGAAGGGGGTTCTTGTAACTTCCCTCATTGGCTTCATGAGAAAGTTACTTTTTAGTGTAAATGTTTGGGCAGTATAGACATATAGAATTAAGTACAGATGTCCTTGCCTATTAGTGATCATTTAAAAACTTGAAATATTTCATTTGCCACATTGTTGTTTTGGAGAATAATGAAGAGATAACTGATTTTGCTTCAATTATCCTTTAACATGTGTTAGTATTTTAATATTTTAAGTAATACATTGAGTCATATATGAAAGTGTTGAGTTGGGCCTGGTGATACAACACGTAATCCTAGCAGCTTGGGTGCCTGAGGCAGGAGGATTGTAAACTCAAGGCCTTCCTGGGCTTGGGTGAGTTCAAGAGTAGCTGAAGTAGTTGACTGAGATCCTGTCTCACAATGAGAACTAAATAGAGGGCTGGGGGATATAGCTCAGCAGGAGAGCACTCTCCTCCTCCTATGTGAAAGGATGTAGGATCAATCTTCAGCACTCAAAAATTAATTGAAAGAAAATAGTTGTTATTAAAAGCACAGAGTTTCAGAATTGTTTTTCATTACGACTTTATAATTTTATTGTGAAATGATATACAAAAATTAATATTTTTGTCACATATTTTGCTAAAAAGATTGATATCGCTTTGCTCAGACTGTGTAAATTGTTTATTACAAGGTAGGATCATGAATAAGCAAATTTGATGTTTGAACAGTAAGGTGCATCCAATGCTTTTTAGAGTGAAATGAAATACGAGGTAAAATGAAAAATGGTACTACTACTCATAGATTTTAAATTTTATAAGATCATTATATGCTATGGAAGCAATAGTCTAGATAATAAAAATGATTCACATGTTGGCTGGAAAACTGACATTTTAATTTTTGTAATCTTCCCATTTATTTCTGATTTGGAATTAATCAAGGCCCATAACAACATTCTGTACTTCACAGGCAATTTAAATGTTCACAATCAAAACTTAGCATCACATAGTTAGAAAATAAAGCATTTTTAGAAAGCTCATTTTAAACTTGTTCTGTTGAAACTTATTTCCAATATGTTTTGGTTTTTTTAAATGTAATTCATTTTAAATATCTCGGCTACTGTTGGTATGTGGGAATGTTGAATGAGGTGGGGGCTCTTAAGTGGTTTGTGGAGATACTGTTTTCCCCTACAGAAGGTTGCTCTTGTGTAAGCTGAGCAACTTGTGTACAAACTCAGTCAGGAAAACCTAAGTGTTCCATGAAGTTCTTGTAGAGAAAATGAGCCCTAGATGAAACAGACAGGGACTCTCTTTATCTCCCAGCACTGAGTCTGAACTTACATCTAAAGATACCATCTTTACTTTATGATCCTTTGACAAAAAAAAAAAAAGAAAAAAAAAGGTCATTTGGTAAATATGATATTTACCATAAAAGCAGATTTTAAAATATAAAATATACTTCCAGACATGGGTAAGTAAACTGTGAGATTATGAGATGGTAACATTTATTATCAAATGTATAGGTCATTGTTTCATAGTCAGAACTTATCTCTCTTTTCTGAGAATGGTCTTACTTAAAGCAGTGAAGTATTGTCTAAAAAGAGGAAAGATATTTCTGCCTTCACAAAGATCGCATGGGAGCCATGGAAACACCTTTTTGTGTATCTTGGCAAATAAGAGAAGCACTCATCCCCTTTTAGATCACAGTGTGCTCATGCAGGCAATTTCTGGACATATGTGAAATGGTTCTCGTGTTTCACTGTCTTATTATAGTCCTTTAACATAGATTAGAGTTGTGAGATTTTTGTCCCAGATAGTAAGATGTAAATCAGTACTCACTAGTAGAAACACATTTCCTGGAAATATAAAATGTGAACAGTTTTAAAAAGCTTTGTCGTGATTCTAACATTTGTTCTATTTAACCAAACATCTCCTTTTTAACACTATATAGTATTTGTTATATTTTTTAACACCAGTGTGTTTAATTTTAATTATTATTCAGGGTAGGCATACTTGTGTTCAGTTTTATTTTAACATTAAGAAAAATAGGTCAAATGCCTTGAACCAATCTTATTCTCCTGTTAAGAGAAAATTATTTTTTGCCCAGGAAATTATTACTTCTCTATTTTATATAGCTTTTAAAATTTTTAGAATGATAATCATACTATTTCCCATATGGCTAATGATGACTACTCAGGTTTAATTATTGTTGCATAGTGAGACAATTTCCTCCTCCTTTGTTAAGATTATCACCATCATTCCACTTTGAATGCGGCTCCTCGTTCCCACTTTCAGGGCTTAGCCAGATTGCTCCCCAGAATTTCTGGAGTGTAGTTGCCAAACCCATAAAGTAAGACTGATGCCTGTGTTTCATGTCTTTTATAACAGTGGACAACACTTATTGGCAATGTGTTCCCACGAGCAATGGCACTTCAGTAGGAAAAAGAAGAACCCCTCTGTGTACCTAATTGCTATTTCATGGGAGCTCATTGTGCTAGACAAATGCAGGCTTTGCTGTTGTTGTTGTTACTGCGGTTGTCATCAGTTGTTAAGCCCTATTCAATAAAGCTCAAGATGAAGGTCTGATTACAAACCAGAAACCTGATGAACTGAACCTGACAAACTAGCATAAGACATTTCCTTCTTGATCCCCAGATAACTCCAGTAGACTTCATAACATGGCGTTATTGCCTCTGGAGACTTCTTGACCCTACGTCATCACACTGAAGGGATTCATCTTTTGCTTAGCTTCTCCATTTTCAGTATCATTGCTGCTGTTTAACATTCTGATTAGAGCTTCTGTCTTTCAGAGGATCTCAGTTATAAATTTTCACTATAATGAGATTGACTGTGAGTCTAACAAGAATTGGAATATATTTCCACCTTTAAACTGAAGAAAATAAAACAATGAAGGGTATGTTAATTTGATGGAATCCTTTCCACTCCAAAAAAAAAAAAAAAAACAAAAAACAACAACAAAAAAAAAACAAAACAAAAACATGAAATACCAATAAATATTGCCAGAACATTTCAAGAGCTCTCTCCAGTATTAAGAGCAACATTTGTCAAGTTTTATCTTAGGCTGCATGAATTACAGCAGTTTTACCTTCAAGCAAATGCAGTCAGTTCTAAACATCTGTTCCCTGTCTCACCCTGATACCAACATAATGAAGACAGAAAATATGTTTGTTTGTTTGTTTGTTTGTTTCTGTAAGCAGTTTTTATATGAGATGCTTCACAAAACAATAACTTTCAGATAAACTGATGGAAGTAAAGCTAAAGAATTAAGGAGTCATTTTTCACACTTGGACTTTCAGAGATATTTTTACAGAGAAGGCAGCTGTTTTCTTGACCTGAGGAAAGACCAGAGGGGTTAATTTCAGGATGCACATGGGAGAAAATAGTACTGGGAAAAGTGAAGAGTTTATGAACTAGAAAAATAACAAGTTAGACCCAGATATGAAAGAATTTGAATATGAGAGTTGAATAATTTCAATGTTTTCCAGCTACTAGGAGTCATGACAATTTGAGTATGAATGTTGGGAACATAAAAAATAATGCAAATAAAAATATAATTTATTATAGATTAACATAGTAGTAATTGTTGAAGTTGCACAATGGGACATGTTTGCAATAAGTAGATTAGTGTTGACTTTGACAGAGGATATGGGGGAACTATTTAAATTATACCTATGTTTTGTGGTGTGTATGTGTAAGACAGACAGAGAGAGGGAGAGACAGACAGAAAGGACAAAGAGAAAGGGGAGAGAGACAGCGAAGAGAAAGAGAGAGGGAGAGACAGAGATAGAGAGACAGAGATTGTGACAGTGAAAATTGGTTTAAAAATGATGGGGATGTTGATTAATTTGATAGTGATTATATGTCTGAAAAGAAATAACAACAACAACAAAAACCCAAAAGGAATAATATAACAATGAATGACTTTAAGCTAACTAAATATCTCAAAAAGGGGACCCTTAGCTCCCTTGGGATCCTGGTGGGCCACCTAACTTCGCTATGATATGTCAAAAGATATCAGGACATAGCAAAGCTAGTATCTGGTTTTAGTTTTATGTTGTGTTTACGTAACACAGGACCATCTTCAATTATTTTAAAAATCACCAATTAGCTTTCTGATTAGGATTTGGTCCCTGCTCTAAGAACTATCTTTTCTTTTAGAGCGTTTTAGATCATCTGAGATTTTTTTGTTTTGTTTTGTTGTTTGTTTGTTTGTTTGTTTGTTTTGAGACAGGGTTTCTCTGTGTAGCCTTGGCTGTCCTGTCCAAGGCTTTGTACACCAGGCTGGCATCAAACTCACAGAGATCCATCTGCCTCTGCCTCCTGAGTGCTGGAATTACAGGCGTGTGCCACTGTGCCTAGCCCATCTGAAGTTTTTAAAACTTACTTTGAACTAGAATATTTCTCTCTTGTTAGCAGTGTTCTTTATTCTGAGCTTTTGGGGTTGCAAACCCACCTTTGAAACACGAATTTGCTTCTAAATAAATCAGATTTTGGGTCCTTCAAGACTATGTACAAAAGTTTAGACTGCGGAAATTGCTCAAAGTGACATCACTGTGAGTCTGTGAGCTGACTTTTGTAATTATCTGGGGAAACTGAAGCTCACAAGAAAGTACTTTTGTGGTTGAGACTCTATTAGGAATTTAACATGCACGCAGATTTATGTCAGTGATTCTGATTCTGTAAGTTTCTGAACTTGTTTGGCATCATCATGGTTACTATCAAACATGCTTTTTCTTTTTCTTTTCTTTTTTTTTTCTTTTTGGTCATACATACGGTTGAAACTTGGAAGCAGGATATAATAGAATTTGTCATATCTAGTCAAATGTCAAAATGAGTTGTCCTTTTGAAGAATAGTGAAACCAAGGTATAAAAAGAAGCTAGAATTCTATCTAA